TGAAGAAATCTGCGTGTTGAGAACCGTGCCAGGGATGGGCGCTAGGCTGGTGATGTCGCCCAGCGGCGGCGGCGCTGCGCAGTGAACAGCCTCTGCGGTCCAATCTGATGACAGAATAACCCACTCTCCACTGTGCCTTGAAAATGTGACATTCGTAGTTTACTTAACACTGTAAAAAAAATTATTTATTTTTTAAAATCGAGGTAACGCTGCTGAGAGCACCCTGTGTGAGTCTCAGGCGCACAGCATTATCACTGACGTCTCAGAGCGCGCTCTGCTGGGTGCTCCCACCGCGAGTCTGCCTCCCTGGGCCGCGAGTCTGCCTCCCTGGGCCATGGGTTTGACCTCTGCTGTCCGTTTTGCCTCCCCTCCCCTGCGGTAACCACTCTTCTGTTCCCTGTATCTACAAGTTTGTTTTTATTTTGTTTTATTCATTCATTTGTTAATTCTTATTATATATCCCTCATGTGAGTAAAATCATATGGTTTTCGTCCTGTTCTGACTTATTTCACTTAATATGATACCAGCTGGGTTTATCTATATTGTCACAAATGGTAACATTTCATTCTTTTTCATGGCTGAGTATATGTGCACCACAGTGTTGTCCATCTATCTTGCCAGACACTTAGGTTGTTTCCATATCTTGGCTATTGTAAATAATGCTGCAGTGAACATAGGGGTGCATGTATCTTTTCAAATTAGTGTTTTCATAGTCTTTGGGTAAATCCCCAGAAGAGGAAGTGCTGGATCATAGGGTAGTTCTATCCTTAATTTTTTGAGAAACCTCTGTACTGTTTTTCATAGTGGCTGCACCAATTTAAAATCTCACCAACAATGCAGGGGGATTTCCTTTTTACATCCTTGCCAGCACTTGTTATTTTTTGTATGAAAAAAAATTTTAATTCTCACCCAAGGACATGCTTAGAGAGAGGAGAAGAAAGGGAGGAGAGAAAAATATTGATATGAGAAACAGTGATTGGTTGCCTCTCTCATGTGACCTGACTGGGGACCAAACCTGTGACCTTTTGGTTTATGATACAATACTCCAACCAACTGAGCCATACAGGTCAGGGTGTTGCTTGTCTTTTGGAAATACCCATTCTGCCCTGGCTAGTGTGGCTCAGTGGACTGAACAACACACAGTGAAGCGAAGGGTCGCCAGTTCGATTCCCAGTCAGGGCACATGCCTCGGTTGTGGGCCAGGTCCCCCATGGGGGGCGAGTGAGAGGCAAACACACACTGATGTTTCTCTCCCTCCCTTTCTCCTTCCCTTCCCCTCTCTCTAAAAATAAATAAAATCTTAAAAAAAAAGAAATGCCCATTCTGACAGGTGCGAGGTGATATCTCTTTGTGGTTTTGATTTGCATCTCCCTGATGGTTATTGATGTTCAGAGTTCACTTTTCTTGTTTTGACATGTTCAGTGTGCACTGGTGATAAACATAAAATGAGCGCTGCAGTACAGCAGTGCCGTGGCCCTTGAAATGCGGAGTGACGGCCACACCGCTGAGCTGCCCATGTGCTGAGCTGCCGTGGGGAGCTCTGTTGCCGCCACTCAACTCTGCACCATGGAGTGAGAGCGGCTGTAGCCAGTGCAGATATAAATGAGTGTGGTTGTGTTTTAATAAAACGATGGACACTGAGATTTGAATTTTATATTTTCATGTGTCACGTAATTTCTAAAGCAATTTCCCCCAACCACTGAAAAATATATAAACTATTTATAGCTCACAGGTTTTTGTAAAAAGGAGCAGGTTGGATTTTGTCTGTGGGCTGTAGTTTGCTAACACCTGGCGTACCTCATAGGGTTGTAAGAATTATGTTGCTTAACATACATAAAATCCTTACACCGTCTCTGAATGAATGATACTGTTAGTGTCTGATTTTCTTGTTTTCCATGGTATTGTGTTTTCACAGGTATTTGGTGACTCCTGGATGTGTGTTTTTTGTGTTTGATGTTTTTCCTCTGTGGATGTTGTTTTTCTATTTATCTCCATGTGTCATGGGAGGGGGTGGGGCATCGGGATGTGCCATCAGGGCACTTTCTGGGAAAGAGGAGCTGGCTTTCCCCAGTCTCAGTGTCCCTGAAAGGGATCTGTGAGTGGAGTCCCCTACCAGGCCTGTGGCCACGGGCGCAGGTGTGGGGGCGAGCTGGCCTGCTCGGCTCTTCCCCGGTGAGGATTCAGGTGAATCCTGGTGATCGTCCTGGGCTCTCCTGGCTCCCTCTCCCCACCCAGGAGGGACGTGTGGCTGCCTTCTCAGGTGTCCTCTCCGGTGTGTGTTAGGATGTGGTTTCCTCATCCGTCCACTTGAATACCAGCTGCCTCCCTTCTTTCAGAGGTTCCTTCTGGTCCATCCTCCATCTTGTTTCCTGCACTGTTATGATGTATTTTTGTGTTTACAATGCTGTATTTTTCACTTATATACTTTCCTTTTGGTTCTCTTTTCAGTTTCTATTTCTCTGAGATTTCTTATTTAAACATCAGGGGCATAGTTTCCTTTATATCTTTGATGATAAAGTAGCTGCTTTGAAACCTGTGTTATTTCTAACACTTAGTCTTGGGACTCTGTCTGCATTGCTTGTCTCTCTTCTTATGTATGGGTCACCTAGTTCTGCTTCTCCATGTGTTTAATAACTTTGGATTTATTTGGAAATTGCAAATGATGTGCATTGTAGAGAGTATGGATCCTATTATGTTTAATGAAGAGTTGTTTTTTTTTTTTTTTTTTCAAATAGGGGCTCAACTCCGTGTCTCTGATGCAGGCAGCAGCTGAAACCTCCCTTCAGGCTGTGTGACCTCCTCTGAGCTGCGTGCAGTGAGCCTGCACGTGTGTGGGTCAGGGGTCACCCAGAGATTTTGGGAGCATTTAGATGCAGAACTGGGGACTCTCCTCTCTGGGTTTTTCCTTTCTGTGATTTCCTCCCTTTCCAGCCTTTGTGGTCTCCACTTGTGGGATCATGGTGTGGGTGGTATGGTCTGCTGGCTTTAAGTGAGTAAATTATATCTCTAGTCAGATGGGAGGGGGACTCTGGCAGACAGAGAGAGGGAACCTCTCTTGGTAAGAATACTAGTGAGGGATGGCTCCAGTGACTGTAAAAGAATATCTCTGTAACAGGCAGTATGTGGGTCAAGCTGACTGAAATTTGAATACTAGAAGGGAATGTGATTATGTCTCTGGTCACGCGTAAGGCGCTTCCTGGGCTGGAGCTTGGCTCCGTCTCTCCACAGGGCCTGGTGTCCTCAGACTCCAGAGAGCTGCAGCTCTGAGGGAGCCAAGCCTCACTGAGGCGTTTTGAGGACAGGACACACATGTGCACACACATGTGTGCACACAGGCACTCACAGATGAACGCAGGCGTGTACACACACTCAAATGTGACTTATCTGGTTCTGAAAAGGACACATAGCCAGTAAGTATGTGGGAAGATGCTTATCTTCACGAGTAACCAAGTGCAAATAAAAACAATAGTGAAGTACTTTTGCCTATCGAATCGGGCAAGATTGAAGACTGATAGTGTACACTGTCAGTGAGGGTTACAAGCATCTCATACTTCTGGCGGGAGTGGGATGTGGGACTATTTTGGAGGCTCACTTGGCAGTATCTATTGATATGTTTTTATTTTTATTTATTCACTTTTAGAGAGAGGGGAAGGGAGGGAGAAAGACAGGGAGAGAAACATCAGTGTGTGAGAGACACATCGATTGGCTGCCTCTCACACACCACCGACTGGGGACCTGGCTGCAACGCATGCATGTGCCCTCACTGGGAATCGAACTGGTGACCTTTTGGTTCACAGGCTGGCACTCAACCCACTGAGCCACACCAGCCAGGGTTCTATTGATATTTAAAAATGCTGAACTTTAGACCACAATGCCACCCCTAGCAAGTACGCATTCTAGTGATTAAAGATCCATGCCCAGAATTGTTCACTACCTTCATCTAAAATAGCATAGGTAGCCCTGGCTGTGTGGCTCAGTCTTTTGGGTGTTGTCCCGCAAACTGAAAGTTTGCGGGTTTGATTCCAGATCAGGAGATACGCCTGGTTTGTGGGCCTGGGTTGCAGGTTCAGTCTCCAGTTGGGGTAGGTGCAAAATGCAACTGATCAATGTTTCCCTCCCTCACTCTCTCCCTCCCTTCCCCTCTCTCTGGAATAAATAAAATAAAATAAAATAAAATAAAATAAAATAAAATAGCATATATACTCTTGAAACTAATATAATGTTATAGGTCAGTTATATTTCAATAAAAATTCAAATAGCATGTATAGGCAGCAGTCCAAATGGCCATTGGCGGGATTATGAAATCATAATGTACTCCCATTAAAGACATGAGGTAGGTTTTTGTTGAAAAGTGTTGAAAATAGGCAGAGGAACAAGGAGGCTGGGAAGCTCAGAGCACAGTATGAGTCCATTAAAAATGTGCATTTGAGCTTAGAAATGTCTGGAGAGACTTGTGCCTACCCCCTCACCGGACTACCTCTGGGTGGGATAAAAGGTGCCCCCCCATGTTTTACTTCCTCCCATCTTGTTTGTTCTCTTTAACAGAGACTGCATTATTTCATGTTTAACACCCTCTCCAGCTCCCGAGGTGCACCAATTGCCTTAGCTGGAGAGCAGTCTGCACCTCTGGTCTCAGAAAAGCCTGGAAGGGGATGAGGCCCACAGCTCTTTGCCTGGCCAAGGTCCTGGCCTCCCGGGACTGATTTAATGTGCCTCAGTGGTGCTCCTCAGGGGGATACAGCAGACACACATCCGCCAGCCAGCCCATAAGTCTCCAGAGTCCATGGCTGGCAACCTTGGGTGTCATGGGGAATGCAGCTGTCCCAGCTCGTGATTCCTGGGTTTGTGATTAGTGGCAGCAGTCACCTCTCGCCCCCGCTTGGGATAGCTGCTGCGCTGTGTGCTCGTGGTTTTAGATGTGGGCGGCCTGTGTCAGCCTGTCATGCGAGGCACACGTCACCAGTTGGTGCATTTATCTCCTGAATCAGGCTGAGGGGCTTTGCTGTGAGCACCAGGACTGTCCTCGCCATGGGACCCAGCCAAGGCATCTGCGGAGGTGAGTCTGCGATTGGAACCTCCTAACCTCTCCAGGCAGCAGGGACCTCAGAGGCAGAGAGGGGAGGCAGCCTGCCTGCCCTGGGCCCCAGGAAGAGCCTGTGGATGAACCTTGGCAATGGGCTGTGTGGGGGCACCGCCCCCCGTTTTACCTCCTCTGGTGTCCTTGCTCGGGCACCTCCCAGAGACGGCAGGTTGGCAGTGCTGACCTGCTGACCGTAGGATGACAGACTGCCATTTCCAGGCCTGGGGGTGGGGGGTGCGTCCTGAGTGCCACTGGGTGGAGGGAAGGGCACTGCGTTTGTCAGGCAGAGTTTCTGATTATGGAAGAGGCTTTGCTCCCTTGAGGTCTGAGCTGACCTTTGCGGGGGAGGTGAGGGGAGGGTGAGTGAGAGTGAGCGTTCTAATGCCAGATGGTCTCGGTTATGAAGGCTGTGGGTGGAGATGAGGTCCAAGCCCTGGGGTTGGTAGTTGCTCCAAATCCCCATGCTTTGGGGGCCTTAGGGCCAAAGAGGAGCTGGGAGTCCGGGGATATCCCCTGTTGGAGCTGTGGGTGGGGCAGTCGGCAAGGGTGAGATTCCGAGATTCCAGAAGGAGGGTCAGTTCAGCTAAGCAGAGGAAGGGGAGGAGAGCGTTCTTGCTCAAGTCCTGTCCTGGAGCAGCCTCTCCAGGTGCCCACAGTGTTAATGCCAGGCAGAAGCAGGGGCAGCTTCTGCAGGGAGTTTCAGGATGCATTTCTTAAACAGTTTAGAATGGGTGCAGGGGCACAAGGTAAATCAGCTTCTCGCTCCGGAAGAACCTGATGGAGCGAGGCTCCAGGGGGCAGTGAGGACTCCGGGAGAGGGATGCGGGCAGAGGAGGAGTAGTATGTCTCCCTGGTTAACCTCCAAGCCCCCCAAAGAGAAATGTGTCAATGCCCACATTCTAGCCCTTACCCATAGCTACCAGCTGCCTCCCTGCTCCTGTTGTGTCTGGCTGGGGAGGAGAGTGGGGTGCTCAGGGAGGCTTCAGGAGAGAAGAGGCGTGTTACAGGGAACGAAGCCAGGCGAGGGGACCGTGTGAGAGAAGGCCCGGAGGCCACCTCGGGAAGCTCCGGGCGGTAGAGCAGACCAGTAGGGACCCACATGGGCTCCCCAGGGTCCCCCTCTACGGCTCTGTGCTCCTCTGACTTCCATCCTCAACCCTCCCCTGCCCCAGGCCCTTCCCCGGTCTGTGCCCTAGTTCACCCGAGACCCCTCTGGGTCCGGCCCGTACCTCTCCCATACTTCCTGTCTGCTGCGTCCCTGTTTCCCAGGCACGCCCTCCCTGCCCCCACCCCACCCCCGGCCCCATGGAGCTGCCCATTCTGCTCACCCTCCCCTTGCTCCAGCCTTCGCCACCCCTCACTGGACTCACACCGGCTGCCTGGACCTCACCTGCTCCCTGCCCTGTGCGGCCGCTGTGTGCCCCTGTAGGAAGCGCAGTGTCCTCCAGCCCTTTCTGCCCGACAGCACCTGCAGTTCCTGCCCGTGCTGGCGTGGCCCACGCACGCTTGTGCGGCCCAAAAGGGGAATTGGCTTCTGCTCCCATTTCTGGCTCCATTTCCTAGCACAGTCCCCATGTCCCCCAAGTTCTAGCTGTTTCTGGGGGAGCCAAGGTCTGGCCTTATTCCTCCTGCACAGCGGAGAGAAGACAGAAGACAAGTGGTCATTTAATTAGCAACTTCTATCTCATCCACCTCTGTGTCTGCCAGCCTCAGGTGGGCAGGGAGAATAACAGAGGATATCACTCCCTTCCCATGGAAAAATATAAAATGGACTCTGTAAAAGGGGGCAGTAAGTGGCTGCAGTAACTGGTGCGAAGCCGACTCAGAGGCTGTGCTGTGAGGTGCCAAGGGCCCCAGGCCGGCCCTGCCTTGCCAGCCCCTGAGGTGGGCCTGCCTGCTTTGGCCTGGGATTCCACCCGGCATCCAGGGCACGCTCAGGGCGTGAGGGCTAGGGAGGCCAGGGGCTGTGTGTATCTGGAGACACGCCCCTGGTCTGGCAGTGTCTGTGGGTCCTGAGGTAGGTCTCCAGCACGACTTTGGGATGGTCCAGGAAACCAAGACAGGCAAACTGACCTTGACCGTGAGGCTATGGAGGAGATCAGATTCTGGGAAGTGGCCAGAATGGTTGTGGGCCGTACCCATTGGCCCGATGGGGGAGGGGCAGTGCTGGATAGGGACATCGGCCAGGCTCCCAGCATGACTGGAGGCGTTAGGGGCAACTGTGTCCCATGGGAGCAGACACCGGCTTCTCCGGCTGCTCTCTCAGTGGTGCCGAGACTGGGTATTGTCCAAGCTGTGATTAGGCCTCCCTGCTGTCACTCCAGTGCCTCTCCTCTAACAGGACCAGGGAGTGTGCAGGCAGGGCTTTCTGCACCTGGCCCAGTGACTGTTGTCAAGGAGGGGTGGCCCTGCCTCAGTAATGCTCCTGGTCACCCTGGGGCAGTGGCCGTCCACTGGGGCCTGCGACCTGCCATGCCTGAGCTCCCCCAGGTCCTGGTGCTCACTCTGACCCTGTGTGCACAGGCCCTGAGAGGGCACTGCTGTCGGGTGGCTCCCCCATCTCCACCTGGTAACTGCTGCCGGAGGGCCCGGTGCTCCAGCACTGGTTGGTGCTGCACCGGGTGGCCCTGGGTGATGCTTCATTCTAGGGAAGGGTGGGGGCTTGTTGGCCTGAGCAGGGGCCTGTGCTGAGGGTGCACAGACAGTGTGCGGGGATGTGGGGTGGGGTGTGGTGGTGTCTGCTGCCCGGTGAGCGTACACCGAAGGCTGTGTGTGTGTGTCTGCTTTTTTGCCTCCTTATCGCCCATCAGGCTTGCATAACTAGGCGGACCCTGCTTCCTGCTTAGGAGCTATCAGCGCGCCATCTGGAGCTGCAAACGGGGTGATAGGGCATCAGCAGCTTCCCTGCAGCACCCAGGCACCTCCTAACACCCAGCCCCGTCTCCAGCTAACCTCTGGCTCTCCCAGGGTCCGGGGCTTGGACAGGCACATCTGAACGGGGGTGTGCCAGACAGAACCTAGGAAGTGCCTTCTGCTGCACGGACACCTGCCACCATCCCCCAATGCCTTCCTGCGGCAGAACCCTGGGATAGGTCTTTACTGAAGGAGGCGAAGGGGAGAGAGGCTGTGTTAGAGGTCAGCGGTGTGACCCTCGGCCAGGCCCTTCCCCTTCTTGGGCGTCAGCTCCCTGGTCAGTGAACAGGGACAGGCCTCCTACCGCACAAGTCTCTCGGGAATCCCAGGGGAAGAGGCATGTTATTGTCGGCACAGGGTATGACACCAAAGAGTTCGGGAGGGGACCTGGGCCCAGGGACAGGGGTCTGGGCTGGCAGGCGACACTGGTCCCAGAGAGGAGCCTGTTGGGCAGACTCAGATGCGCGGCCGTCGCAGTGTGCAGGACGCACGAGGGGAGCCGAGCGTGAGGGCGCCCCTGCAGGCTGCAGCCGTGAGTCTTTGTCAGGCCAACGGACCTGTCGGTGTGGCTCTGACAGGGGTGCCCAGCTTCCTTCGCAGGACACAGTGAGTGTGTAGGTGGCGGCCCACTCAGAGCACTCCGTTGGGGGGCACTCCTCACAGGGAGGATCTCACGGGGAGCACTCCTTGGGGGGTGCTCCTCACACATTGCCCCTCAGCCCCGCCCCTTGCAGGTTGGACCTTGAGGAGTGAGGCCCTGGCGAGAGGGATGCGTGCCTGGCTCCTGGTCTGCACCTGGCTCGGCTTGGGGGTCCCGGTGCCAGGGGAACGAGGAGGTGAGGGCGCTAGTCACTGGGTGGTGTTGGGGGGCAGTGCTGCGGGGCGGGGCTGTTCTCTGTCAGACTCCATGGGGGAGGGCGTGGCCTGAACTGTGCGAGGACCTGTCCCCCGAGGACCAGCCTGGACTCCAGTCCTGCCCAGGTGCCGTGGGTCAGACAGAGCCCGTCGCTTTCCAGGCCTCCCAGCCTGGCCTTTGATGAATTCTCCTGGTATTATTCTTTGGGGTCTACCCTATTAGGGTGTCAGCTTCCAGGCCCTGCCCCTCCCCCAGCCCTGCCCTGACGCAGCCACTGTGGGCTCCCAATGGTCGCTGTTCCCAGGGCCAGGGCCTGGAAGTTTCACCTGCTTCACCAACAACATCCTCAGGATTGACTGCCACTGGTCTGCCCCTGAGCTGGGCCGGGGCCCCAGCCCCTGGCTCCTCTTCACCAGGTGAGGCTGGAGGGCCAGACCCACCTGGGCAGAGGGCAGGGTAAGGATAGGGTCCCCGCGATAGCAGCAGCAGGGGCCGGGCTGGTGCAGCAGCTTCTTGGCGCTGATACAGAACCGTTTCTAGGAACCACGAGCCGGGCAGCAAGCACAGGTGTGTCTTCAGGGCCAGCATGTGCACCCTGGTGCTGCCGCCCGAGGAGATTCTTGTGCCTTCCGACATCTTTACCATCACTCTGCACCGTCACATCTCTGGGAAGGAGCGGGTCAGCCTGGTGGACCCGCAGTACCTGCCCCGGAGACATGGTGAGGCCTGGAGTGGGCACCTCGGGGGAAAACACTCTGGCTGCCTGTGTGTTGGGGGCAGGGCCCTGCAGCCTGTGACCCCCATGCCTGGTGCTTGCTCTTTGTCCCTTCCAGGAGAGACCCGGGGCTGGGATCGGGACGGGCCCAGGCGTTTGTGGGGGGCGGCCCACTGGCTGCTGGCAGGATTGGGTTTTAAAGGATGGTGAAGATACAGGGCTTTGAGTTGGGGCCTAGACTGCAGCTTGAGTCACTTGAAATGCACGTCAGTCACAGCAGGAAGGAGCCCCATGGGACTTGGGGAAGAGCCTCCAACAGCAGCTTATGAAGGAAAGGGAAGGCCAGCTTTGGGAACCACCTCGTCTGGCTGCAGGGCCTGGAAGAGGTCATTGCTGTCAGTCTCACCTGGGGCTTCTCTGGACCAGCCTCCCAGAGAGGCCCCTGGCCTGCAAGGGCCTTGACCGTGGCCTCCCAGGAGTCTGTCTGTGCCCCAGCCCTGGGCACGCCGACAGACAAGCCCTCACGCGGCCTCATTCTGTTTCAGTGAAGCTGGACCCTCCCTCTGACTTTCAGAGCAACGTCAGCGCTGGCTCCTGTGTCCTGACCTGGAGTGTCAGCCCTGGCTTGGAGCCACTGGCCTCGCTGCTCAGCTACGAGCTGGCCTTCAAGAGGCAGGAAGAGGCTTGGGAGGTAACGCTGGGGCTGGCTGCTGGGGTGCCTCTCCGCCTCCTGGGAGCAGCGGCACAGGGCCGTTCCTCACCCCACATGGGGAGGTGCTGACTTGGAATTGGGGGAAGGGGGGTGACCAGAGCCAAGAGCATGTGTGTGCAAGTGTGCATGTGGGTTTGATGTGTGCGTGCATAGGCACATCTGTGTGAGCGTGCCTGTGTGTGCCTGTGTGTGCCTGAATGTGTGTGTTTATATACATGAGTGCTCATAGGGTGTGCCTATGTGTGTGAGCACATGTGAGCATGTGGATATGCACACACACACACACACACACGTGAAAGTGTGCCCTTGCGGATATGGCTGTGTGAGTGTGAGTGTGCTGAGTGTGCCTCTGTGTGTGTGTGTGCGTTCTCGAGGGCTGACAGACCCTGCCTCCCCCGTAGCGGCGGCTAACTGTCTTCAACCTCGCAGCGGGCCCGGCACAAGGATCACATCTTCGGGGTGACCTTGCTCATCCTTGAAGCCGTGGAACTGGACCCTGGCTACGTCTATGAGGCGAGGCTGCGCGTCCAGATGGCCACCCCGGAGGGCCCCATGGCCGAGGAGGAGCGCTACGAGGGCCCCTGGAGCGAGTGGAGCCAGCCCGTGTTCTTCGCCTCCCCTCGGCGGCAAGGTGGGTGCTCTGGCTGCTGCCTGGGAGTCTGGTCGGGCCTCCCTGCTCTGTTCCTTGCACCCCTGCCCCACCCTTTTACTTCCTGGGACCCACCCCAGAGGCAGCTATGCGCCAGCGGACCACTCTGCCCGGGAGGGCCGAGGTGTGTAAGGAGGAAACAGATACCTGCTAAGCTTGAGCTTCCCAGGAGCCTGAGCCGGTGGCTCTGACGGGAGCGGGTGCAGCCCAGGGCTGCACAGCAGGGCCTCAGGGAGGGCTGGCTGAACCTCGTGCGCAGCGGTGCTGGAAGGTTCATTGCCCCTGAAGGCCTTGCAGATGTGGAGCGGGAGGCCCGGGGGTGCGTGAGTCACCGAAGGTGCTTTAGCAGGCGTGCCACAAAGCCTCCAAGGCCCACGGCAAACCCTCCACATGGCCCCAGGGCACTCACCGGGGAGTCTCTGCCAGGTGGGTTTGGAGGAACACCCTGGTGCGGGCGGAGGCCACTCTCAGCTCTGGGCCATTCCTGCCCACAGGTGCCCTGATCACACCTGTGGGGCAGCCCAACAGCACCCTCATCACCGTGTCCGTCTTTCTCCTGCTGACCAGCCTGACCTATGTCCTGTTCAAGCTGTCACCCAGGTCGGTAACTGAAGGGTGTGCGTGTGGCTGTGTGTGTGTTTGTGAGTGTGTGGCTGGCTGTGCGTGTTTGTGTCAGTGTGGTGAGCGGGTGCCAAGGGCTGGACCCGCACCGCTCCCCTGTACTCCCCCTGCTACCGTTGGGTCCTGGATGGGGTGCAGTTTTCAAGCTACTGCCTTGGACCAGTGTGGAGTTTCCAAGTTACCTGGTTTGGGGGGCAGTGTGACCCAAAAGAACTGAGGAGGGACCCAAAGTCACGGGGACCACGTTGCCTGGGGCTCGTGCCTTCAGCCTCTAGAGGTGCTCAGTGGTTTGCTCACTTGTTAACACATCCTATGAAAACACAGCTTTGGGCATCTGGGGTGCACAGGACCTGCTCTCAGCTCTGGTGTTGCCCAGAGAACCCGATGGACACAGGGCCCTTCCAAAATAAGCCATCGCACATGCCAGGTTATGAGAAGGGTACGTGGCCTTGTCCAGGACAGGGGCCCGAGGACACTGGCCAGGTGTGGCCACGTGGCAGAGAAGATGAGAGGAGGTCAGATGAAGTGAGCAATGGGGGTGGGTGAGAGTGAGGCAGGGGGTGATGGGCGGGGCCTGTGGGCGGGGCCTATAGGCGGGGCTGAGAAGCTAGAGGAGGGTGCAGGCTAGTCCTTGGAGCAAAGGAAAGCGCCCGAAGTATGTTAAATGGTGTGTGACGTGATATGCTTATATTTTCGAAAATGGGTTGTGGAGGTACAGAGGGCTGGGAGGATCTGCTGAGAGGCCAGTGGTGGTGTCCAGAGAAAGGCAGTTTGGCGGGAGCTGGAGAAAGAAGTAAAGATAGAGCAAAGTGGAGGGAATTTTTCAGGGTCTTAGGAAGAGAAACCGAGGGAATGCGTGGGCAGAGGAGACTGCTCTGATCGGTGACCCCTGACGTCACCCCTGAGGTGGGGAACTGGCTGCTCCAGGCCCCAAGAGAGATCGGGAAAGTCAGTTTGGGCCCATTGGGTTGGAGCCCTGTGCCACTTCCTCGTGGGAGGGCCCGTGGGCCTGGACAGGCAGATGTGGTGCTCAGGGAGAAGTCTGGTGGGAGTGGCCACTTGCCTGCAAATGACACAGCTGGGGTTCCTGGGGGCTCTGGGTCCCTCCGTGGGCTGAGATCGTGGCTGGTTCTCCGCCTCTGATCTCACCATCCCAGCTCACCCTGCAAAGGACATATGTCTTGGTGTCAGTTGGTTCCATGGGGTCATTAGCCAGGGCGGCCACAGCGTGCCAGGCGTTGGGTCTTCCCCTGAGTTGCAGGTGTGGCCCTGGTGAGGGGAGAGAGCATGGCCACAGCACAGATGAGGCAGAGCTGGTCACCTGCTGGTTGGAAGGGAGCTGAGCTCCCCACAAGGATCTCACGCTTCCCAGAGTTGGGCCTCTGCAGGCACGCTTGCGAGGGGGCTCTGACTGTCCTCTCCGGGCTCAGGGTGAAGAGGACCTTCTACCAGAACGTGCCCTCTCCAGTGGCGTTCTTCCAGCCCCTCTACAGCGTGCACAACGGGAACTTCCAGGTGCGTGCACTGGCCACGCCGGGGCTGGGGGTTAGGGCAGGGGTTGCCCACATATCTGGCCTGCTGAGGATGTGGGCTCTGGGTGACGGCTGGGGAGAGCCTGGGGGCCTTCTCAGTGCTTTGAGCTTTTTTAGTATGCATAGTGGGTTTAAATTTACACACCCAGCCTCAGATGGGCCAGAAAACTCACTTTGTGTTCTGTTGTTCATTTCCTTTTGTTCTCGTATCTCTAATTCCATTGTTGGTAGAAAAAAAATGTGAACTTTCTTATAATCTGTCTCTTCTGGTCTGCGGCAGCCCCTTTGAGGTAAATGGTCAGTTCAGGGAGCAAATGGCGGGGCCGTCTGTACCTGCCTCGGCTCACCCTTCCTTCCTCTCCGAGGACGTCTGTCTGCTGTCTGTGGGGAGGGTCTCTGGTGCTGGAGCTGCCCTTGGGGCCCTCATGGTGCCTGGTCTGCTGCTCTTGTGGAGTGCCTGGCTCTTCCAGTCGCTCTGGGTAGCACGCTGCTACCTTGGCCAATGAGTAGCCTCCGCATTTCCCCCTTGGCGGAACCCTGGTGGCACCGGCACCTCACCTCCGTGAAAGGCGAGCTGAGGACGGCCTGGAGGGCTGCACCTGACCCTCTGCGCTCACTGTCCCCCCCTTGCTGACCGGGGAGCTCTTGCTCCCCCAGCAGGAGGCGCTCCCATGGGTGGTCTCTGGTTCCCACCCTCTCAGACCCCTCCCTCTGGGCAAGGGAGGGGAGGCAGTGCTCCCTGGGGCCCGCAGACAGCCCTTCCCTCCTAGTGCTTCCGCTCTCAGTGTTGGGCAGGGGGCCTAGTTTTCAAGATTGTTGTCCAGAAGTATGGTCTGAAGCTTAAAGCTGAGCACTTTGTCCTTGGTGGAGTCCACTTCTTTTCCCAAGGCAGTGGATGTGACAAGAGCCCTGAGGCAGCTGTGACAAAGGCTAAGAGGGACAAAGATTTTGATTGTTGCGAACCATGCATATCTGCTCTCCGGCTGCTCTCGCAGGGAGCAGGCAGTGGCGCGAGAGGTGGCGTGTGTGGTGCATATGGTGGGGGCTCTGTCCCACCTGGGAACGGCTTCCTTTAGGAGGCGGGGGCCTCTTGTGGCCCCACGAAGGGTCCAAGTCGGCCTGCCTAGACTTAAAGGCTCCAGCCCCGGATAGCCTCTCCCATCTTTAGTGTGTGTGTGCGCGTGTGCAAATGTGAGCAGGGTCAGGGCGAGCTCTGTAGCTGCTGGCGGTGCCTGCAGCGGCAGTCTGAGGTTTGGCCGGTCCTCGGCACCTATCCCCATTTGCACCTGTTCCAGGCTGCCGTCAGCACCTGGCCCTGTGCTGGGAATGCTGAGGGGCCTGCAGGGACTTGGGGGCTTCATGCGGAGGCTGGGCTGGCACATGGCGGGACAAGAGAATGCTCCAGGCACAGGTGTCGAGTGGCCTCTGGGCATGGGTATCAGGAGAGCTTCCTGAAAGTGGCGGGCTGCCCCCAGGGTGCATCCTGAGCAGGCCACTGATCTGTCCCCCATGCTCCGTTCCAGACCTGGACAGGTGTTCACAGAGCTGGCGTGCAGCTGAGCCAGGACCTTGCTGGGGCTGCAGCAGGAGCCTCGGAGCCCCGTGTCCGGGAGGCCATCGAGTTGCTCACCTATGACCCGGTGGATCCTTGGCCCTTCGTGGGCCTGGAGGACGAGGGCACTGGCACTGGCCTCCCAGCAGATGTGTTGCCAGCGGCCCTGGAGTGGGGAGGGCAGCCGCCTGCCTACCTGCCACAAGAGGAGTGGGTCGCCGCGAGCCCCGGCAGGCCAGCTCCGCCACAGGCAGAGGGCGGCAGTGCTGACTACTGTGCCCTGGGCTGTTATGGGGGGTGCCACCCCTCGCCTTTCCCAGGGATCACACAGAGCTCTGGACCCATCCAGCTCTTGGCCTGTGACCTTCCCTGCCACCCGCAGAGCCTGGATGTCAGGCAAGGAGGCAGCCACGTGGGAGCTGGTCGTGATCAGAGGCCGGACCCTGGTGAAGAGGCTGCATAGGGTCCTCCGGGGTGTTTCCCACCCTCCTATCCTTGGCAGACAGTGGGCTCAGTCCTGAAAGTTCTGGAGCTCTGACTCGGCCAGCTGCATCAAGTCCATTTTGGGGAAAATGGACTGAAGTCTCTGGAGCTGACCCTCCTGCAGAGAGCTGTTTATGCAGTGGCCAGACACGCTGTCTGGATGGAGGCAGAGGCCTCTGCACACAGCATCCTGCCCACCAGCCGCCCCCACCCCCGCCACTTCCCTCTCTGCTTTGACCCCGGGCTCCTCTGAGAAGGGGGCTGCTCTCCACAGCCTGCTCTGCCCTCACCCCCTACAGGGCCTGCCTGGGCCCAGTGGACACAGGCGAGATGCTGTGACCAGGCTGAGTGTCCCCGTTCTGTGCCTTCCTGAGGCTTCTCCTGCACTGAGATGGAAGGCATTCAGTAGCTGTTCTGAACTGCTGGTGGCTGGGAGGGGCCCAGAGGAGGGTGGGGATGTGGGCTGTGGCCATGCCCAGGCTGTCCTGGCTCTGGGAATAGCAAAGTGGAGGCTCAGTGACCTGCCCCGTCTGAGGCCGACTCCTGCTCTTCCTTGTCCTCATCCCACCGTGGGCCCCGTGAGGCTGGGAGCTGTGGCCTAAGCCAGGGCTGGAAGTGACCGCCCGGTAGTGGCCTTGGCCCATGCGGGGTCGTGCCTCTGACCCCCACACCTGTGGAGCAGTGGTGGGCAGAGCAGAGGATGCCTGCATGGGTCCCCTCGGCCTGCCACAGTGAAGCGCCACAAACTAGGTGGCTTAGAACAACAGAAATTTATTGTCTCAAGGTCCTGGAAGCTCAAGTCTGAAGTCTAGGTGCGGGCAGGCTGGGAAGATGCCAGGGAAGGCCTGTTTTAGGGCTCTCTCCAGCTTCTGGGAGCTTCTTGGCTGGGGACAGCATCACACCAGTCTTCACAAAGTGTTTTCCTTGTGGGGATGTGTCCAAAGTCCCCCTTTTATAGCGACACAATCACAGCGGATTGGGGCTGATCCAAAGGACTTCATCTTGACGTGGCCATCTAACAGGACCCTGCTTCCATACAAGGCCATGCTCACAGGCCCTGGAGGTGAGGACTCGAACACGTGCATTTTTTGGGAACACAACTCAACCTGTGACAGCATCTCTGCCTCCGTCAGTGATCTCCACCCATGCTGGCTCAGACCCTGGGGACCCTCCCAGGGCATCCCCGTCACCCTTATAGCATGCCTTGGGAAGAAGACCCTGTTCCCACCGGCTGCTGGACTTGGGGTGGGTGCTGGGACCATCTGCTGGGTAAGGGTTGGGATGAAACTCTAGTGGAGCTGGAGGTGCTAGAGCTTTGAAAGTAGGATATAGTGGAGGCCTGTCTCTCTCTGGATGCTGAGTGTCTGTCTGTCCAGTGTCCCCTGTGTCCTGGGCAGAAAAAAAAACTCCCAGCTTTAGTCCCCCAGAGGAAAGGACCACTTCTGGTTTAGATGGGTACCCCCACCCCTCTGTGTGCCTGCAGAGCTCCCGAGGTTTTGTGGGGAGCCTCAGCGGAGCCAGATTCTGGTCAGCAGGGCGAAACAGGACCCAAAATGTATCTTTAGTATCCAGAGAGTGGGAGGGGTGTGGACGGAAGTGAGGTGCAGGCACCCTTAGCTCTAACCAAGTATAAAAATACTATGGTGAATGCACTTCCTGGAGCCGACCCCTGGGGAGCCCCAGGCTCGTCGTGTATTTATAGCAGCATCTGCATGGCTCGTGCAGCTTCACGTGGGACCTAAGCCACCTACGTGACTACACAATGACCCTCACAGCTGGGACGCCTGTTCTGTGTGGCTGGGGATGGTGTCCATGTGATTTGCACAGTTTCTCTGGAGAGCCGGGGGCTCCGGGCTGGGACTCGAGTGCAAAGCCAGGCAGAGGCTGTGGGGCTGGTTGCAGCGAGTCGCGCCTGCCCCTTCAGTCCACGGGGCTGACGACGCTTCGCAGAGTTGATGTGAGTTCACCTGAGCAAGATGCCCGCACACGGTGGGGCTCAGCAAACACTAATTCCCCTCACTGCGATGAGACAGCCCTCAGCCCTCGGAAGCCGCGGCCAAGGTCCACTGTGCGGCTGGGGACAGCTCGGAAGACCCGTGAGCCTGATGAGGGCAGTGACTGTGGGACATCCGTGAAGGAGTCACCGAGAAGGCGGCCTGGGAAGGGGGCTGGGACACTGCGTGTGAGTCGAGGAGTTGAGAGGACACTGAGGCTGTAGCACAAGCATCCAAAATGTGGCTGGTCAGGCCCGGGGCTGCAGCTGGACCGGGGAGTGGTGGGCCCGGAGTGCCAGGCTGGGGGTGCAGTGAGGGGAACAGAATGCCTTGGGATGGTTTCTTTATTTTTTGTTTTTCAGTGAGGTAAAATTCACGTTATATAAAATCAACTGTTTTTTAAAAATCCTCACGCAGGGATGTCTTCATTGACTTTAGAGAGAGAGAGGGAAAAAGGGAGAGAGGGAGGGAGAGACAGAGCAACACTGATCAGGTGCCTTCCGTACACATCTGAAACACAGGTATGTGCCCTGAACAGGAATTGAACCTGCATCCTTTTGGTATACGGGATGTTGCACCAAACAATGAAGCCACCCAGGCAGGGCAAAATCAACTGTTTTAAAGTGTACAATTCAGTGGCATTTAGTACATGTATAATATTGTACAACCATTACCTCTATCAAGTTCAAAAAATTTCCATCACTCTCAAAAGGAAATGCCCTGAACGAGAAGTAGTGGCTCCCCATCCCGTCCTACCTCTGACCTCTGACAACCTCTGATCTTCTCGTAGTCCCTATTCTAGATGTTTCATATAAATGGAAACATAATATGTGACATTTTGCATTCAGCCTCTTTCTTTCAGTACACTGTTTTTGAGATTTTCCCACATTGAAGTATTTGTATTTCACTCCTTTTTGTGGCTGAATACAGGGTGGGGCAAATGTAGGTTTACAGGTGTTCATATAGAGAATAATACAATAATTAATAAGCAGTAATACAAGAATAAACTCTGTTTTGTGTACTCACCACTGTAAACCTATTTTTGCCTCTCCTCCGCCCCCGTAATAGTCCACTGTACGGACACACCACATTGCGTTTATCATTTGTCTGTTGATGGACATCTGGGCTGTTTCCACATTTTCACTATTGTGAACAGTCCTGCTATTAACATTCGTGTACGAGTTTCTGTTCAAATACCTGTTTTCAATTCTTTTGTGTATATCCCTAGGAGTAGAATTGCTGGAACATATGGTAATTCTGTTTAGTTTCCTCTATTTGAGGAACTGCCAAACTATTTTCCACAGTGGCTGCAACATTTCACACTTGTGGCATTAATGTACTGGGTTCCAGTTTCTTCACATCCTCTTCGTAGTGCCCCTCCCTTTTCTGACAGCACCATTCTCGTGGTTGTGAAATGGTACCTCATTATGATTTTGATCACATTTCCCCAATGGCTGGTGATCTTGAGCATCTTTTCATGACTGTTTGTGTATCTTCTTTGAAGAAAAGTCTATTCAAGCCCTTCGCTCATGTCAAGAATTGGGTTGTTTCTCCTTTCGTTGTTGAGTTGTAAGAGTTCTTAACATATTATGGATACTCAACCCTTTTCAGGTGCGTGACTTGCAAATATTTCCTATCATCCTCAGGTTACCTTTTTACTTTCTTGATAGCATCCTTTGATCCACAAAAGTTTCAGATTTTGAAAAGTTTAAAAAAATTCAATTTATTTAGTTTTTCTCTTATTGCCTGTGATTTGGGGGTCATGCCCAAGAAATCATTGCCAAATCCAGTTCCAATAAACACATGAAAAGATGTGCAATATCATTGGTCTTTAGGAAAATGGAAATCAAAACCACAGCGAGACACCACCGCACACCCATCGGGGTGGCTATCATCACAAAGGCAGCAATGAATTAGGTTCGGTGAGAGTGCAGAGACACTGGGACTCTCACACACCGACAATGGGAATGAGAAACGATGGTAGTGGTGGCTGCACACATGTGGGTGGACTTAGTGCTCCTGAGCTTCACACACTTAAAACGGTTCGGATGATAAATTTCGTAATGCGTGTTTCACCACACACAAGAAGCCTCCCCCAGAACTGGTCCTGAAGTCGCTCACGTGTGATGCGAGGAGGCCCTCGTCCCGCAGAGTGTGAAGTGGCCTCCTATTCCTGCTGGCACTGCAGACCCTAAGCTTTTCACATGCGCCCAGCATGCTCTCACCAGCCAGGGCTCTGCCCTCACCTGCGCCATGTGCACCTCTTGTCGCCTTGTTTCCTTCTCCAACTCACTACTCCCCAGCCACTCTCAAGAAAATGACTGTCTTTGTAATTTTTATTTTTCCATAATGTCATACAAATGGGATCTTAGGTACAGTGTGTGGTCTCTTCACAGGGGCCTCTTCCACTTGGTGATATGTGTGTGAGTTTCATCTATGGCTTTGCATGGCTTAATAGCTTGTTCCTTTAAATTTTTTTTTTAATTCTCACCTGAGGATATGTTTTTTATTGATTTTAGAGAGAAAGAGGAAGGGAAAGAGGGAAACATCGATCAGTTGCCTCCTGTACATGCCCTGACTGGGGATTGAACTTGCAACCTAGGTATATGCCCTGACTGGGAATCGAACCCCCAAACTTTTGGTGTAGGGGATGATGCTCCAACCAACTGAGCTACTAGCCAGGACCATTCCTTTTTTTAAAAATGGAATAGTATTCCATTGAACACTTGTTTACTTATTCACTTATTGAAGGATATCCTGATCTTTGAAATATTGCCCTATTGTGAAGAGAGGTGCTGTACATAATTGCATGGTGGTTTTTTCTTGGACACAAGTTTTCAGGGCAGTTGTCCAAATACCTAGGTTTGTGACTGTTGGCTTATGACGAGACCATGGTCAGCTTTGGGAAAATCCAGCACACCGTGTTCCCGAGCGGCTCTACCCTTGCCCCTTCCACCAGCAGTGAATGAAAGCTCCTGTTGCTGTTGTTCCTCCTCCTTCTAAAACGTAGCCGCTTTAATGCACATGCTCTGCTATTTCGTTTTTATTTGAGTTGGCTTTTCCCTTATGACAAGTGATGTTGAGCATTATTTTGTATGCTTATTTGTCATTTGTGTGTGTATATATATATATATATATATATATTAATTATTTTATTGTTGTTCAATTACAGTTGTCTGCATTTCTTCCCCACCCCTCCCCCCACACCCCCTCCAAACCCATCTC